ATATTTGTTTTATTTAGCAATCTTGTGGCATAAGACAAGAAAATGTCTCTCTATCATGCGCACAAAACAAATTATACGGCGTTTTAACGCGTGAACATGTCGTTTGTCGGTTATCGGTATCAAAATTTTTACTAGTATTTATTCTATTATATCTTATTGTATTCAAATTGACCCTGTGCTGAATTGTCAATAACCGTTGCCTCTTTTGGTTCCTACTACAATGGCAACAAATTTTTACCGGTATTTATTTTAATTTTCACTACATGAACATGCACTTTGAGTTCGATTTGGCACTATGCTGAATTGCCAAAAACCGTTACCTCTATCGGTACCTGCTTTAAAGTCAAACAAAAGGCAACATAAGTTTCACATCAGTCTCCTAAACTTAATATTTACTGGCCATAAAACTATGCAAGTGTCGCTTACCGTCGGAGATTATCCTTTGAATGATTGCAGTCATGTCTTGCACCTCCGCTGCGTAGAAATTCTCGCCTGAGTACGGGGCCACACCTAAATCTGTATAAATTGTTTAAGGAATACTATTGGAAACAATAAACAGCATTTTTCACTAACACTTTTCATTGGAAATGTATGAAACAGTGACAGTTGAAATCGTCTCATTCACTCCCTTATAAGGCAGATCCCTTCGACAAGAATAAATAAGAAACTCCGGATTGCTCTTTGTAATCTGCATTTGGTCATATTTATCATTTACAATAATTATTAAAATGCACCATTACAAGAAATAGTCTCCAAAAGTTAGATAGATCACCCTGATTGTTTTTGTCATCCAAGTAAGCAAAAACTTTAAACAAAAGCTAGAAAGATATTCAAGTAATAATGTTATTACATTGGTTCACCCAGGTAGTGTCTTAAATTCACAGCATTAAATGATGCCTGTTGGATATTTTAAAACCAAATAACACTACTATTAATAAATTATTCTGAGAAATGTCAAACAAAGCACAAAACCTTGTTGCACATTGAATATTAAGACCAACAAAATTAACAAAAACTTTACAATCTGTTACCGGTATCGAAACATTTTACCGGTAAGATGGAAATTTACTTTACATTCACGCAATTTGTATTTAAATCGCGTTTTAACGCCTAAAGCGATGGCTATCGGTACCCGAACCTTGTGTATCCACATGTTAACCCAAGAATTTATTATCACCATTACCATCAATTGTGGCGTGCGCATGTCACAACAGTGGCGCTGCTACTGCGCTTCTAAATTGTATGAATTTGAAGGCGCCCTTAGTGCGCTATCGCCCTTGGCTTAACGAGGCTTCTTGAGACTATTAATCTAAATTATAGTAGTAAGAAAGGATACAGTTAAGCATGTCCATCAATGTGTTAGGATGATCGGGGGGTGGCGGGGGCTGTGGCGCAGCGGGGGCCACGGCACGCAGCGTATACGCACGCACGAACTCCTTGCGCAGGTCGTGGAAACGCGCGTAGTACGATGGTAGATTTATCTCCTTGCTGCACGCTTCGGGGAAGAGACATTGCCTGGAAATTCAGGAGAGAGGGGTTATTTATCAAGATCTTTCGTGGTTCTACTATTACTAAGTAAGTATGGTAACTATATACGGACGTAGCAGCGCGTTTGTACGTGTGCGTAACTGCGTGCCCGTGTACGAACGCACATATTCGCATAATTTCGCGATGTTCTCGTACTAAAAGGTCTGTGTGGCACTGCAACTATTAGGGACAGGCGTGTCGCTTACCACCAGACACACGACTTGTTCGTTCCGTTACTTAGTATTATAAAAAAATGTACATATCAATCTGTAATTATTAAATATCATGTTTTGCCATGATATTTAATTATAGTTTTGTCGAAGTTACTCCTTTAGTTTGTTATAATTATTAATGGAAAGATCGAACACTAAGAAAAATTGCTACGATCCGGCTGGATTCTAACTAGCGCGCGTCTTCAGCATCTCGTGTCTGATGCTTTCCCAACCGAGCTAGCAGATCTGACGATTTGTTTCTATTTGCTTATTGTAGATCTTTGTTTTTTATTGTTAACGATTTTCTAATCCAAAATTTTTTAATATTATTCTCAGGAAGTTTAATTCAATTGTGAAGTTATTCTGCAACTGAGAAGATCTTTGAAAACCTCTAAGGGCCCCAAAGAGTGTTATTACTTATGTCGCTTATAAGTGCATGTCCCATTCCATAACCTTTGACACTGCAGCGCATTTTAAGGCTAATCGTACAGGAAACAGCCTTGAATAACGTAAATACCTTTTAATAATACGGCAGGGTTGACCTGTGACCGTTGAAGGCCATTGTTCAGGCTAAACATGTTATTCAATGATATTCACAGCGTTGTCTAGCCAGGCTTACGATAATACCGGATGTTCGGGTTAGATCGATATCGGGTATTTGTTATCGTTGCATAAAGATCGTAACTATTATTGTAACGACCCAACTCTAGTGATATTTTTAATATTTTTTGGACTTTGAAATGATTCTATAGAGGCTACATGAGAAGAGTATTTTTTCATACATTTATTGAAAATTTATACATTGTTGCCACAGCCAAGTAACTCATAAGTTTAGTAACACAGTTTCATAATTCATTTATTTGTGAAAATATGGGTTGTATAGAAGCTAGCATGTACAAAATAAGTATAGTTTCAGTTTGGCATCGTATGTGCGTCGTGGTGAATGTTCACTGATCCCACGGCGCCGACTCAACCGGCGAGAGGGAAACCCGGGGGGGTTTTAGTGGGGTAGGCCCTCCAGTCTAGAGGGAGAGTCCCCACATAACCCATGAGTCTCCCTGGGCTCAGGGGTATCCACAAAGACCCCGTCAAAAAAAAAGGTCAAACATACGATATAATAAATAAATGAAGGTTGGTTATATCACATGCACTTCGACAAACTAAACTGCTAATTTCAAATCATCTCAGTTGTATGTCGATATCTGCCGTCCACTATCTAAAACTTAGGTAATGGTCAAAACTCCGTTTTATATAGCAAAAGAAAGAGTAAAAATTCTTGTTTAAAAACAGTTTAAATTAGTTAACGTATTTCGAAAACAGTTAAAATTAGTTAACGTATTCGACTCATCGGAACTTACCCTAACTATGCATAGCTGAAATATCAATAAACAATATCAATATTCTAAAACTGGGTAATGGTTTTTTTGAAATCTCAAAAATTTTGTCACTTTGTTGTTTGTTGTTGTTGTTAACAGACGGCAGATATGCTCGTAGTGTCAGTGGCAGAATTTTGTACGTTTGGTATTCTGCTAAAAGTGGAGTGTCAGTGGCTAGACATAAATAAATAACGCACACACTCAACATAGCCCCGCACTAGGGAAACCCTGAGTCGCGGGACACACATAGACAACCACAAATTGCAATAAAACTCACGAGAGAAGTAAATGTAGGCCATACAAATATTTCTCCCGGCCCGGTAATCGAACCTGGGACCTCTGCGTGGCCGTCCGATATGGTAACCGTTCAGCCACGGAGGCAGTTAAGGCATCGAGCTACTATTCAACTGCCATTGCAATTTTTTGGTATTCTGCTCTTCAATGGCGAGTCTATGACACGCCGATTGTGTTTGTCTACAAATATTGTATATATTTAAATTGAAAACTAAATTGTCCGTTCAGAAATATAAAAATTAAGATATGCGTATCCAACGCAAATTCGTTTCGTACTAATTGTCCAACTGAACCATATAAATATACTCTCTTATGCGTAATAAATTACTTACTTTACAAAATCGCCATAAGAAATCTGACATAGTTTTACTCAACAACATTGTTGTTAATTTTATAAATAGAGCTCGTTTATCAGCACGCCCCCAACGTAAAATAAAAATTTTCGTACCACCACGACTTCGTAAGAATTTGATTACTTGAAATAATCTTTTTATTTGGACATTATTTAAAATTTCAATGATTGAACTTCAAATATAATTAATATAACCAATATGTAATATAATTAATAATGTGATGTAATTCTATGTATTAGTACAGAGTAAAACCGGGGTTTGCTTATACATGGCCGTAGTTTTTTCTAAACGCTGTTTAAATCATCAATCATCAGATCTTAGATATTACATTGCAAATATTTGTAATTAAACTTTGTGCAATTAACTATTAATTATTTAACAGTAAAAAGAACAAATTGTCTTGAGACCAACCTTAAAATTAGTTTTTAAATAAATTACGATTGGTCATCTCTTCCGAGGTGTCCGGGTGCGATGACCATAGGACTACGGGTAAGATGGCCAGTAATTATTTCTAGACTTAGATAGGCCTTTTATTTGGTGTTTTGTTTTCTAAATCTTGTTTTTTCTTCGTGTGGTCAAATTCTCAGTTTTCGTGAACCCAAAAGTAGCACACGACGCATTGGAGTCAATGTTCGATGAGGGGGTTTCACAGCAGCAGCAGCTTTTATAGCTATCGAGTTCTTAGGTTTTCGCGATTGTACACTTATGAAATGAAAGCTTTTTCCCGGATTTAAATCGCGTTTTTCAAACAAATCAAGGTTTCGGCCCTTTACAAGTATTGAGACATTTCCAACAAATTTTTATAAATGCCAACATTTATATAGCTGCTTTTAATGCTTCTTCAGTGCAATTCCGTCTCATTGCGGCTACCTTTCTTTTGTATTTAGTACGCATCTAAAACAAGTTCGAAAATTCGAAAATAAATAAATTATTTTATTAATATTTTAGACCTGTGTATGATTGGTATAATTTGGTCATATTTAGTTATAGTTTGGTTATAGTTGTAAGACAGCCTTACACCGCTTTTTAGTGGCCATCTGTCATAATATTCCGGGAGAGGTGGCCACACTTATATATACTTAAGCGATAAATACAAAAATAATCCATATTTTGAAAATATAACTTCATTGTAGTGTAAAACATGATCTCTCTAAAAAATTTTAGCATTTATCAAAACAATTAACAGGGTTTTTTACTTACTTTTCTTTTTTTGGTCAGAATATTCGACGTACACTTGCACTTAGACATCACATGATGCGAACTGAGCAATAGCTATAGCCATCCAGTTAGAGGATCATTGAAATACCTATTGCTATTGGTCGTCTGCCCTTTATGGCCATTAACCCTGGTTTTACCCTAATTATGGACTGTGTTGTCTGATATGAACAAATGAATTTGAATTTGAAAAAACAACAACGAAAAGCAAATCTTACACAGCAATTTTCTATAATAAACATAAACAGGTATTTCTCATCTCACATTGTGTAATTAGTGGTCAACATCAGCGCTGCGCGATCAATATCATCAGATTAGATCTCTACTGTTTTTTAAATCTCCTTCGGATCCATCTCCGCTTCTTATTCATAGTTTTCTTGGCTATTTATACGTACTACCCGTTTGTTTAGTACAAAATCTTTAGACTAGTTTTCACATACGAATCATCTGCCGTAAAGATTAAAGTCTATCGCGTAATCAAAATTACTCAGTACCTTAATGGGGGTTGTCCGTCTGTAACCAGCCTGAAGAGTGGGGAATGGGGGTCCACGTTCAGCGAACGCACGAACTCGTCGAACTGAAACGAGATAGAAGCAAAACATTAGTTTACACTTTTGTGCGTTGTATTATTACTTTGGGAAAAACTTAATGTAAAGAGAGACGCATAATTTACAAATACAAATACTTTTTATTGCACACAAGCACAAAATACAGAGATAAACAAAAGAAAATTATTTGAAATAAGTAAATAGCTGGGAACTTAGAATAATAACGCACAGAATGATAGTTTCATATCAAACGAACTGTCACAAGTGAGGCAAAAATCTAATTCATGTAGGCTAGTTTTAGTAGTAGGTTAATTTTCGGTTTTAGTGAATATTTATATAAAAATACAAGTTGAAACGCTTTACTTCCTTATGGAATGTGATGTTAGTATCTATTTTATGTTTGTCTGTATGTATGTATTTTTACACTCATTTACCGCACATTTCGTCAGTTTTAGCTAAAATTCTTGAGCTGTTCGCGGTGCAAGTTGACCTTGAGCACTGACGGCCCGCCCGCTCGTGTAGGCTCTTTGGGAGCGCTTCAATTTGCCTCACGTAGCGTGTGCGTACTAGGTTTCTATGCGTTATTATTCTAAGGCTGGGAATTTAAACAGGTGATTGTCTAGTAGGTATGCGAAGTTCAGTATGATATTTTCGCAGTTCAAATGCATATTTCATCATCATTATCTACATATTCAAGGGCCCACTTCCGGGTACAGATCTCCTCTCAGGCAATTGGACTTCACACAACTTCCGAAGGTTGTGAACATTCTTCAATGTGCTGGTTTCATCACGATTCAGTAAATTTCAAATTAGGTACATATGTAAATTCCGAAAAATTCAGAGGTGCCAACCCGGATTCGAATTCACGGCCTATGCTTGAGAGGCGGTAAATCAAACCATGAGCGCCCAGATACACGACGCGAAAGATTTCGCGCGGCCGCCACACGGTGACCGCCCAGTTACCACGCTTTCGCGTATATTACTTGCGAATCTGAATTCTATTTACTCGGCAACAACATTTAAATTCCTCTGAACAATATAACCGCGCGGTCGAAAAGTATTTTGCGTAGACGCGGTCGCTGCGCGGCTACTACGCGGTCTCGTGTCGAATAAAGGCGCCCTTATGCTACCACGGTTTTTTTTACATAATAAGTAATTACTAATACAAAATGATGCCAATCACTAAAACATGCAGTTTAAACTGCACAGTCGAAAATACACGGTAACCTCGACCACCTAATAGCAGGTATCAATAAAAAATATCGAAAATTTATTGGTTACAGCTACTAGCACATCAATTAACATGCCATTAGCAAATTATCGATAACAAAAAAGCAGTAAAATCACAAATTAAGCAAAAACCAATCATAATTTGTTTACAAAAAAAACCGTAAGCGGTTTTCCGGTTATTAGAAAATATATTTAGGTCCGCGTCTATTTTTATCTAGATGTGGGTACAATAAGAGTCGCATGGAAACGTACCATTTATTGAGGATTAATAAAAACGAAAGTTTCTATTATCAAGACATTTAAACTACATATTCGAGTTATGAAATAGTTTTTTTCTATTTGATTTAGACGTCACAAAGCAATAGGTCTAGGGAGTAGAAAACTTCTGTCCCTAGTCATGATAGCCTAACCGCGAGCGAAATTAACCATACTTTTCGGTGAAAAAAACAAAAACAAACAAGGTTTGCGACACTCGGAAATGAAGGCCTCACCCACATCGGGCCAGAGCAGCGTGGCGGACTATGGCCTAAATCCTCGCCAGAGAAGAGACCCAGGCCCAGCAGTGGGACGTTTAAATGGGTTGTAGATGATTTACTTTAGGTACGTTTCTTAATGCATAGTTGTTATTTATACCCATGTCATGTCATACCATCCTGACTGCAACGCAACTGCCGAGTAGCAACTGAATTAGATGCAGTCGGTACTTGTCAATTCTTTCTTAAAATTTTGGCAGACCGCGGTGCATCGTTGCACTTCAAATGAAGTTATTTTTCAGTCGGATCAACATTACGACTGCCATCTTGCAATCCAAATGCAGTCGTGTTGATTTAGATACTGCATTCAAACCGTAATAGAACAATAATCAAATTGCCTTGCCTAGCATCATCGTTTCTACGAACTCACGCGTCTCTGATAAGCCTAAATTTTCAATGAAAATGAAGATTGTTGCTTTACTGCAGGAGTGGTGCGTATGCCAATAAGTTAACTGTTTTTTAAGAAACGCATATAAAGTATTACAATATATTTTTCACTTGGTATGACGGGACGAACTGATTTTGGGTCTGGTGGTAAGTGACAAGTACACATAAGAGTTGAAGTCCTACTAAGAGCTTTAAATCGCAAAGATCTGAGGGGCACTGTCGATCTTCAGTAATGCTCACATTACTGCTTGGCGACAGAAATAGGTGAAGTGGAATTACTGCCCTGGATGAACTTTTTCACGAAGAACTCTACTGCTACTAAAATACTTACTAGCGATACTTACTTTATTGCGTACCCAAGTACAATCTTCGATCTTTACAAACTGACGAACTCAGCGACCCAACGAACGGACGAAACGAACTTTGGGTTTTCTACGTAGTGTACAAGGAGTTAATTATGTTGCTCTGGTAATCACATAAGAAGTTCCCTAGTTTGAGACCAGTATCATTGTGTGCCCGTCACTTTGAGACGTAACGTCGGGGATAGTGCAAATCCGTGTGCTACATAGCATTGGTAAAATGCGCGTATAGGCACTAAACCAAATGTTGCAGAAAAGGGATTTAACGTTGTTACTTTGTTATTTCAATGTAAGCAGCAGTAAGCATTAATTTATGTTACGGACTGATAACAATACATTCCCATATATAACGCTAATTTGGTTGCCACGACATATACGCGGTATTGATTTGGCCACTAAATTACCGAAACTCATTACCCAATCCTAGTTATTGCACTATCCCCATCCCCGACTTTAAGTTGACAAGTTCCATGTGCAATTCACCAGTACCCTTACACTTCAAAACCAGAACACAGTAATGCTCACATTACTGCTTGGCGGCAGAAATAGGTAAGGTGGTGGATGACTTCTTTCACAAGGAGCTCTTCTACTACTAAAATACATTCAGGTGATATAGTGATGTGAATGTAACCGGTACCGATACGTGGGTAATATCACACAATCGGACTTCTGTAATGAACTAAAATCGAGCTGAAATTGAGTACCGTAGTTGAATAGTACCGTAACATTACCGCGGACCATGCAAAAAGTGTTATAACTTTTAAATCAATATTTTTAGTTATACTTAGGTATTTCGACAGGGCAGTTCAAAACGCTCAACTATAATTGCAATAAATGTATAAACTTCGCACTACTTGTATACATAGGAAGGTTCTCGTAGTCATTAAATTCCACAAATTACAAATAATAATTCGTATGATTACGTTGATGTAATGGAAAAACATATTACATGGGAGAATAACGAAGCTGTGTTTGTTTCTGGGTCAGCAAAAAACGCGTCGACCTTGCAAGTTTGGTTTTCGGTTTTTAGTTGTAAAAAACCCGGTTCTGATCGTTTCATGTTATTATATTTTTATAGTATTCTAAAATAACTTTAGACATTATAGTGGCGCTTTAGATGTGGCATTATAGATCGCACTTTTGTACCACTGGCGCCACTATAATAGTGGCGCCAGTGGTACAAAAGTGCATCTAGTAACTCTTCCTCTCAATAAGGCTGCTAGCGTAGTTCGTTTCTTTTTAAAATTAGACACAAGGAAATTTTGGGTCTTTTATCAGGCACCATTTCATTCAAATACCGTGGAACAAAATTCTCAATTTTTTTTCACTATTGTCTAAGACTATTATAAATTAAATGGAAACTTTACATTTTTACATTCGTAATGTATTTAAAAAACGTGCACTATACAGAAACAAAGCTTCCAAACAAAACTTTTTATAAAATAATAACATATAATCTT